TAAACTGCTTAACAAAAAAAATATAAATATATTAATAATAATAATAATAAAATAATTATAATAATAGTTATAGTAGTAGGTAGCAATATTAAGAGTAAATAAATAATAATAGTACTTTAAGCGAATATTTGAGGGCGACTCACTAAGCAAAGCTCGTAAAATACCTTAAAAAACAATTTTTATTATAAAAGCGGAATGAAAAACGTTGAAAATTTTGTAAATAATAAAAATAATGCTGACGTTTGGCCCCAGACGAGGGCGGTGCAACAGGGCATATTTATAATAAATCCCACGCAAAAAATATACAAAAAAAATTGTTGTGTACAGCAATCATTTTAAAGGGAAAAATATAAAAATTTAACGAATAATAATAGTATAATAACTAACTAAATATATATATATATAGTAATACTATATATAAATTCTATTATAAATATATAAATATTACAATAAATAATTAGAAAAATAAATTTGTATTGCGTAAAAGCAACAAATGAAAGCACCGAAAAAATAAATAAAATAATGCAGCGTCCAATTACAAAAGGGATTCTAGCTAAATTATAGTTTATTATTATTATTAACTAGATAATAATAAAATTTTAACTTTATTACTTATAAATATAAAACATCAATTTATTTTCTATAGTAAAACAAATTTTTTTTATAAATATATTAATTAGAAACTTTATAATTTTTTTTAAAATTAATACTAATATTAATAAAAAATTTATATTACCTTTTAAAAATAATAATTCTTTAAAAAGTTTCACATAAACAAAAATATTTTTTCTACTAAAAAAAGTTATATTTAATAACCATACACAAAAAGTTTATATAAACTTGTGATAAAATAAAGAAAAATTATATAAAAAAGTAAAATAAAATTTTATACATAAAAATATTATTTACAATTATTATACTAATAGTTAATAATTTTGTAATATATTTAATAGAATATAAAAATGAATAAAAACTTTTATAAATACTTTTTTTAAAGTAAACTTTGATTATTTTATATAAGTAAATTATATAACTTTTTAATATTTGTATAAATAAAGTTATAAATAAGCACACCCTTTTCTATAAACTTTAATATTTATATAAAAAATACAACTTTATACATAAAAATATAAAAAAGTAAACTTTTATTTTCTTATTTAAGTAAATATCATAAGAACTTTTCAAAATTTGTATAAACTTTTTTATAAATACTTTATATTAAAAAAGGTAAAAATAGCAACCCTGTCCAAGTTTTTATACCAAAAAATAGTAAAAAAGTAAAAAAAAAAGTAAATTTTTAAGCGAAAACTCTAGAATTAATATAAAATAATAAAATATTTAATAAAAATACAATATATATATTTGAAGATAAAGCAAACTTAATAATATTTAATAAATAAAACAATAAAGAAATAGAAGTATATAAATTTATTTAAAAAAAAATAAAAGTTTTTATTTCCTAAAACCAAAAAATTTTTGTAAATAGTTTATTTAAAGTGAAAATAACGTTAAACTTGTAATATTTTTTATGAAACGAATATAAGAATAATAATGAAGTAATAAAAATAAAGGTAATAATATTACAATAAAAGACTAGCAGATGGCCGGAACATAATGCCACAAATTATTTTTATCTATACAAATTGATGCAATAAAACCCATTTCTGGCGCAATATAGAAATAATATTTTTTTAAAAATAAAATTTTTTTAAAGCTCACTAAAAAATTCTTTAAACATTTTATAATAAAAAAACTTATACTAAAAAATTTTTAACGTTTCATATAAACAAATAGCAAATAAAATATAATAAGAGCAGCCAATACAAGCGGTTCCTTCTGGTCGTAAGCAAATCATTTTGTTTTCATTATCAATCGACGGGAAGGAAAAAAGTTCTTTTTTAATTATATCGTCGTTGCCTAGCGACCTAAAAAGTTTTATGTAAGAAGTTTTATTGTTATTATTATATTATTATGATAACTTTAAAAATTATATTGTTTTCATTATAAACATTATACTAATATATAAATAATACCATTACTATTACTGTTAATAAGAGTTTTTATAAATTTTTTTTTTATAAACATTATTATAGTATAAATATTAATACTATGGTTTTTTATAGTTTTAATTATTATTATAAAAACAATCAATAAAAATTCTTGGAAATTAATTTTTCAAACATTTTCATAATTAATAATACCATAATTATATTAAAGTTACCCCTTTTATAATTATGATTATCAATAAAGTTTCTTATATATTTATAAAGCTTCTTATAAAGTTATAATAATAATTTTTCTTAATACTTTTTTTTATGAACATTATTAATATTATTTTGATAATAATTAATAATATATATATTCATTAATAGTAAAATACACCCATAAACATTTTATTACAACTATTATAGTTTTCTTTTATATAAAAGTTTTTCAAAATTACTATTACTAAGTTTAATAAAATAAAAATTTATAAAAATTTATAAAAATTATTGTTACATAAATTGTTTATTAAATATTAGTCTAAATAGACTATTATGATATTTATTAGTAGCAAGCCAATACTTGTTTATTAAAAATAAAATAATTTTAAAATATAAACAAATTTCTTTATAACAACTCTAATCATATTATTATTACTGTTTTGCATTTTTATTACCAGTATTATTATAAAATTCTCAACTTTCAGGGCAAACTTCCTCACTTTACTTATGATAAGCTGCAATAGACTCTTCTGGTTTATAATATTTTCTTTATATATTAATTCTTATCAAATTTACGTAGAAACTTTTTAATTTATAATAGCTTTATATAGTAAATAGTTTGGCAAGATGCTTTTTAAAAAGATGAGAATATACACAGATATCTGAATCCACTAAGCTTTATTTCATTTTATTTTATCTGGTTTACTATAAGTTTTTCAGTTATAAACTTTTAGCTAATCAAAAAAGCGCTAAATTTTTAAAGAAATAATATACTTAAATGAAGTTAAAAAAAATAAAGCAAAAAGCATTAAAGACCTTTCGAATAGTTCCCTTTTTTCTATAATGGGAGTAGCAATAGATTCGCAATTAAATTTAGAACAAACCGCTCTAGCCTAAAATTCGTAAGTAAACATTTTATTTTATAGTAAGTACAATAAAAGTAAGTATGGTTTTATAATAACCTTTTCTATAATCTCTTGATGTAGTATATAATCCTCTCCAAATAAATCGTAAGTACCTTTTATTCTCTAAAGAAAATAATTTGTTTATTAAGTTACTGAGTTTTTTTTAACTATAAAAACTTTATTCAATTTTTAACTGTCTTCTTTTATCTCTGTATTAGCTATTTTATAAAATAAAATCTACTAAGTAATTTTAGTTAAAAGGATATATATTTTACAGGTTACATATTTATTAGCTATTAAATTAAAATATATTTACGTGCATTAAATTATTAGTAAAAGTGCTAAACAACTATATTGTGAGTCGACCTCCGTTCTTCCTTTTTTATATAAATTAAAAGTTTCCTTAAGATTTTCATCAAAAGTTTGAGTAGTAAATTGAAAACTAAAAACTTTAATATTCTGTATATATATATAAAATTTGCTGTTACTAAAAAAAAAAAAAGCAAACTTCTGGCGTTTACTTTGTATTTTTTATAAAATAATTGAATGGTCGCTGTACTGATAGGAGCAAATATTGTCGTAATATTTTTCCAAGTCATCTATTAAAAAGCAAATAAAACGCTATTTTAAGTATTAGGAGTCGTCTTAGATTATAGATATAATGTAGTAAGAATTTGAGTTAAAAGAATCTACAGTGGATAAATAAAGTTAATAAAGTAAAATAAAGCTAAAAGTAAAAAATTAAAGTCACATTTATAATAGATATAAATACTTAAAGTTTAGTCATTCAAAGTTTAAAGAGACTTGAAAAAAAAAGTAAAAAAGACTTCGTAGAAAATATTTATAATTAAAAAACATAAAAGTATACTAGAGATACATACACGTTTTTTATATATATAAATATACGCCTTTAATGCGTAGTCTATAAAAAACGGGAACGTTAAACTTTTAAGGAAAGCTAAAAATTTTGCGAAATTCAATAGGGCTCGTGAGGGTCAGTATATTATAAAAATCATTTTTTCAATTTTTATAATATCATAGTATAATTTTAATAATAATAACTGCCATTGCTCCATTAAACATTTTAATTTCTACACAAATTTATAATTGTATGACTTTTACTTGCATATTCGATACCTACGAGAACTCGATTTTTACATTAAACAAAAATCATTTTATGTGCACAAAAAGAAAATAGAGTTACAATTTTTTTTTTTTCATAGTTTTTTCAGTATTTCTACTAAATTTAAGAATTAACGAAAAAATATTTAGTACAATGCATTTGTATATTTCCGGAAAACTAAGTAAGCCTGTAGCATAAATAAGAGTATTAAACTTTCTCTTAAAAAAGCATACTATTAGTTTGTAAAATAAATATTTTTTTAAACGTAAGTTGGTTTTTTTTCCTTACGCAACTCTACCAATGCGTAAAAAAACTGTCTACAACTTTTTTTTCACTACACTTTTATTGTAAAATTGTAGTTTTTACTTATTAAACCTGCTTCTTATCACTCTTTGCTATCTGCCTTCGACATACACAATTGCAAAAATTATTTTTTTATAAAACACTTAATTTTAGATTTTATAGTAGGATAAATTTTATTGTAAAAAATAAAAACTTAAATCAGTTCGTTATCCAATTATTAAAGCTACTTATACATATTCTTGAAAAGATTAATTTTTTTTTGTTTCCTGTTAAAATTTATATACCCTTTAAATTTGTGCACCTGTCTATCAATTTATTCTATTAAGGTATTCTAGCTACATATAACTCAATTTTACGAAATTTTATTAAATTAAGCTTGAAGTTTTGATAAAAGATTAGACAATTTCTGAACTGTTTCCTCTAAGTTATTTAAATTATAATCCATTTGAAGTTCGCCTTTGCTTGATTGAAATAAATAACTATTTAAATTATAATCCATAAATCCTATTGATGGATAAAAGTTATGTTATATACAGAAGTTTAAAAAAAAAAGTTATTTAACCATTATTATTTGTATCGGCGAAATCTGAGAAAGATTTCGTCCTAAGTTTGGGTTTTTCTTGTTGGAGAAGTCCCTACTCGCGGAAAATCAGTATTTTTTTTATTTCTTTAAAGAGAATACAATAGAGAAATTTATTGAGACAAAGCAAAGTCAATGTCGGCCAAACTAGCATCTTGTAAGTTTCCATTAAAAACTATTAGTTACTAATTTGTTTTACATGTCTAATACACAGTGACTTCGGTACAAGTATAAAACTAATTTACTTCCAGACTTAAACGTTTACCAAGTTAACCACATTATTAGAAATTTTCATAAAAGGGCCTTCGTCAATAAAAAATAGTTGAAAAGTAATAGCTATTAGCCTTCTTAGTAGAGATCGGTTAAGTTTTTTTCGCCTTGAAATACCTTTTTGAAACTGTAAATAGGTAGATGCATCTTTTAATTTATAGAGCGTTAATCCGAAAAGAATTACCTTTATTGTAAAAAGAGCATAAAATCTCGAAATGGCAGAGATCAAATTATGAAAGAGGCTTGACTTCTTATTGTATTATAAAAATAAAAGGATAACAGCAAAAAATTAATACAACAAAGTAGTAAATACTTATTTTTCAAAACTTATGGATCAGGTAAAAATAAAAGGTTACCATAGAGCGGGAGCTTAGCAATTTTAAAAACAATTAGAATTTACAGGAAAAAATGCTTATTTTTATTATTATATCGTAAATATAACTTTATTTCTTAATCTTTTTTTAGAATAAATAGCTATTCTTTAGTTATTTATAGAAAGGTTCACCCGCCACTGACTAGATACAAAAAAGAAACCTTTTATTAGCAGACCTCAATTGTTAGATGTAAAGGTAAAAAGTTTTAAATAGAAAAAAAAAATTTTTTTCGATTAACTTGAGAAACATAAAGAGTATCAAATTTCTTATTGTAGTTGGCAGCTACTTCTCACACAGAAGAAAATTTATAAAGACTACAATTTCGAATTATTATCAATAACCAACCTTTAATAAAAAGCATTCTGTTTTTAGTATATTGAAGTGTGATAAAAATTTTAAATAAAACAAGATAGTAAGTATGTACTTTAAATTACTTTAAAAAAAATTAAAAAAAAAACTTCTGTATTATGATTAACGACTACTTTTAACACAGAAAATCTTATTTTTTATTAAAAAAACTTCGATTTATTAATAATAACCACACTCTTTAACAAAAAGTATTTTTTTCGTAAACTATTGTATTAAGATATAAACTTTAATAAAGTATAATTTTATAATACTAAAATCAAAGTTATCAGTAAAACAATCATTTAATAATTTTTTTTAAAAAGCTATTAAAACTATTTCAACTTTTCAATGAGTAAATTAATTGCAAAAAACTTTGCTACTACTACTATCTTTTAATATATGTTAACATTATCAAATTCGAATACATACAATTTAGCTATTATTCTCATTCAATGTATTATACTAAGGGTTTTGAGGATCACCTTGATGCCTTAATCGGAATAGTTTTAGATAAGATGTATAGACGCCATAAATACGTTTAAAATTTTTCTTTAAATAAAGCAGAAAACCTAACTTATAGTATTGTAGTTTAACAGTTATAATAGATATTTTTCTGAGAAAGGTTAAAAGTAACCTTTTCACTGAAAAAATTAATTTTTAGTAATAAATTTTGAAGCTTGGACAAATTTACAAATTTTATATACTTATATTCTCTAACAATGTTAGATGCCCCCAAGTATAGAACGAGTTTTGTTCTCACAATTTTTCTACCTTTAATAAAAGTTGTTCTTTCTCCGGACTTTTACTTAATATTTTTAAAATTAACATTGCAACTTTTCGGTAGAGGAATGAAAACAGTATTCACCAACCGTCACGCGGACGGCGGTTTCTTGCCTCTACTCACGGTTAGTGTGCTTAGCTATTATTTTTCTTAATGGGATGGTATTTCTATAAAAAGTGTTACTACAATGGAGAGCTACGTTTTAAATAAATCACAAAGTTTTAGTGATAATGTTAGTTTAGCGAGTTCGGACGCCAGGCAACCCTTTACCTATATCACCTGCAACTTCTACGGTCGATCATGTTTATGGGAGCAGCACAATTTTTTAGTCATTTGTCCTTTTTGCGCTGCGTTGCACCTTTCAGCAAACGTTTGGAATTTAGCTGCAGTTACCGGCTTGGGATTGCGATGATAGAAAACAAGGTGGGTGCACACGGAAAATATGAGAAGAAATATACTTGCGGTGCGCCCACTAACAGCTGTCGTAGTGGCGATGGGACAGTGCCTACTAACACGCTGAAAACGTATATAGCTATAACATAAGCACTTTTAATAAACAGTAAAGCATACGATTAACAATATTTTTTAAGCAAAGTACAAGAAAAACACAATCTTTTGTGTTCTACAAGTATAATATCTTTAAGAAATACATTCCATTAAAAAGTACTTAGTTTTTGATAAAATAAAAATTTAAGCTAATACAAATCACAAACAAAAACAAAAATAAAAATTAAGAATAGCCAAACAGAATGACCACAGGAATGGGGTTATTGGATGAGAAAAATTAATTCTGTAAAAAAATATTAAATAATCACAAAACTAAAAAGCTCATTGGCCAAGATTTAGAAGTTCATTGGTCCACAGTACCCGAACTTTTAGTATATAAAGGAAGGGGTAACTAACTAATAAGTAGATCTCTTTAGTAGTTCTTCTTAATTTAATTTTATTAGTTTTAATAAGATCGGAAGAAATATAAAGTAGATACTCTTACTGGACAGAAAGATTACCTAATGAGACCAAATTTTTAAAATAACTAAAAAAAAATACTGTATATATAAATAGCCATATCGCTTTACGTCATAAGCATTCTTTAAGTTACCAGTTTTAACAAATATACAAAGATTTTTTGGACTAACTAATCACACTTCTTGAAGGTCAAGCTAGATGACTTGGGTGTGCAGCTTCAAGAGCAGACCTTCAAGCTACACTAAGTAAGTTGGACAACTGGGGAAAAAATACAAGGCAGAAAAACACACGATAAGGGGACAAAGCGTTTTTATTAAACAGCTGGTTTGACTAATTTTTATTAACGCATTAAAAACATTAATAGTGTTATTTTATTGTTCGTATGCAGCTAAATATCTTAAAAAATAACTATTTATTGGTGTCAAGTTTGGAGGTCAAAGGTTTCATTTTTTATTTATTTTAGTGTTCGTTACTTATTTTTTTTTTCACTACACCCCGGTGAATCATAGAAGCTGCTTATTCTTTGATATCCTTGCCGAAGTTGAGAGTTACCCTGGTATGGAGTCACATGCGTTAAAGAGAGCCTTTAAGCTCTTCAGAAGAGTTTTTTGACCGCTTTGCCTGCTAGCGGTTCATGTATTTACTTAACTTAGCTGCAGGTCGTTATATCCTCTATAGCATAACAAATAATTACCCTTTCCATTGCGCCGGAACGCCGAGTAGCCAGAGCAGCATCGATCAGCCGTAACCACTGTGGATGTATATTTTAGCATTTCACAAGATATACCACCAGATCTTGGTGCCTTTCTCCTCGTTAGCGCCTTGACGCGCGTGTATCGATAGACACTAGCAGCTCATTTATATTAATTTTAATATAAGCTCGGATTTTTGCTAAGCGCGTTAGTAATAGACAATAGAGTGCACTGGGCATCATCAAGATAAGGTAGAGAATGTCAGCCCACCTTTCTCGGCTAAAATATAGCCTTTTTGCAGTGGTGATCGTTAGTTATCAGAAGAGGTTTGCTGTTTCATCCACCTTCATCCCATTGGTCAACTTGGATTCGGACTGGTAATAAGTGTACTCCATCAACTTCTACTTTACGCAAAGATGCGCACTACAAAGCCATGACAACTCGGTTAAACGCTTTTAGCTCGCCGAAACTTGACGTGTAGTCATTGCGATGGTAAGATTTACGGCTATGACACATTCGCGCTCGAAAACAATAAAAGTGACATCCGGAAAAGTAGTGTGGAGCCTATTTACCTTTATAACAGATTGCTCCATTCAACTTGGGTACGTTACTTTTGATAGTTGCGGTAAACTTGACAGAGCAGACGTGGTAGCAGTTCCAGATATGGCCGGCAGGTTTGGAGGGGAGGAAAAGGGGCATACACCCAAGACCACTAGGCGATCCGATAAAGTTAATTAAGTGTCTAATGGTCAGTGTGATATTTCCTTTCACCTGAAAAGGTAATATCACGCCTTGTACAAGCAAGTTCTACTTTTTACTTTGTCATTTTAACTTTTATTAATGTTAATAGCATTAAAAGTTATACCCTTTATTTTATTTTGGCTTTGATTCGACAAATTATCACATAGAATCACCTGCTTATGTACGAATGAAGATATCGAGTCCTAACAGGCCTAGCCTACCGCTCCCGACTTCCTCAGTACACCCTGAGGAACGAGCACTCTAAGCTCTGTGGGCCTCAAGGAGGCAGCTATTATTAAATTGTAACTATTGTAAGCAACCCTTTAACAAACTGAACCTACTTATTTTGTGCGTAACTGCACGTGCACTATTATTTTTACACCAAACAAAATTTGAATTTAATTTTCTGTCCCAGCTGTTTTCTTTCTTGTTTCTTGTTTCTTGTTTATATGTAATCATTCTTTTTTTGTTAATAGCCATAGAGTAATGATTAAGGAGCTTATAAACTATAAGATAGGGTTAAGCCTGGATCCTTGACCTCTTGAACAATAACAAATTTCTTCCGTTAAGCAATGTCAGAAAAATTAAACTAAGATTTAATTTTTGTATATTTTTGTCCTTGAATTCTTTTTTATTATTATAAAAACTGGTGAGCAACACCGTTGTTTACTAGTTTATGCTTAACAGGATTTGTGATTATCTTAAAATGCAGTAACTTCTAGATTAGTAAACAAATTTTTTGAATTAAGATTTTATTGCAAAAGAAAATTTTTAAATTTAGAAAAACCGCTTATATGCAACCTTTTGCATCATAGTAATTAAAACTTCCCTATTGCAATATCTTGTTGTCTTTTATAGAAGGAAAAATTTAGTCTCCTTTCACTTTTTTCTTTCGTATTTACTTGTAATAGAGAGTTTTTGGTAACAAATTCCATTTTTTACAATAAATATATTAAATTATTGCTGCTGAAAGAGCATTTTGCCGAACTCAGCAACCCATTTGTAAAGCAAAACAAGTTCTGTTTTCCCTCTTGCTTTAATTTTTAATTTTTGATTTTTTTAGATTGATATATGAAGTGCGAAGTTAGGTTTTCTTAAAATGTAACGATTTTAAATTTTTGCTAACGTTTTTCCTTTAGCAATTATTTAAAAGTCTTGCCTTTCTACCAGAGATAGTAAGTAAAATATTTTTATTAAATCAATGTCCGTTTCGTCTTGTGATTCCCAAGTTGCCTGAATCACTTCCCGCAGATTTTTTAATTTTTTCGGATAATTTTGTTTCTCATTTCCTTTTTTTTATAATAAAGATTATAAGAGTACATCATGGCACGTTAAAGCAAGCTTGACAACAATTAGTTTTTCACGAATTTGTGAAGGTTCCCAAAGCGTTTGCTAAATTTTAAAAAATTGCTTACGGTACTAAATGGGGTATAAGCTTGAGAATGACAATAAATTAATAGGTAAGTAAAGTTAAAAATAAATAGGAAATTAAATATTATTAAAAATTTTACAAAAGTAAAACTTAGTAAATTTTATTAGTTTAGAACAGTAATAATAATAATCGCGCAAGAATCGAGAAAGTGAGCAAATTCGTGCTTTTGGGATTGTAAGAAGGATTAAAGAATATGAAACAAGAGCAACGCATAGAGAACAGAAGCTGGAAAACTTAAAATTACTTATAACATATTTAAAGAAATTATAAACGAGGCTAAACTTGCCAATTCTAGTACGTAATCGTTCGACGAAGTCATCTTTTATGTTTTTAATAATATTTCAATAGTAATATTAAAGAATTGTATAAAGATTGTCTCTACTCAGCAGAATAGCTATTCCACTTCTTCGGAAAGAATATGCTTATAATTATTAGAGTTAGAACTTTTAAAAAAAGGAGGACTACAAGCAGTTAAAGTTTTTTACAAATTAAAAGAGGATGACCACTGCCAAGAGCTTCTTATCAGCAATATTAGTAGTTCTTGCTAAGCTTCCGACGTTAATGTTAGGAGCTTTTATAAAATATTATCCCAGCCTACTTTAAAAAAATATCTTGTTACGCTTTTTCTTATAATGATACGGCAAAACTCTGTTTCAGGTAATCGGCATTAATAACAACTTTTCTAAAATGTAAATATTTATCACCTTGCCATAATTTACTTATTTATCATAATAAAAAACTTGTGATTCACTTTCCAAGCTTTACATTCTTTTTTATGTCACAAATTTAAAATTCAAGTAACTTTTTTAGAATAATTAGTTCTTATTTTAAGTGTTGTTCGGGTCTTATTCTGTCTTACCCTGCGAGGACTTACTTGTAGTTAGCTTTCTTTTACTTGTTAATTCTTTATTATAATTCTTGCGTTAAGGACGTATTATTTACAGGTTTTTTTCAATTTATTATAAAATTATACTTTTTTTTTGAAAACATATTGTAAGTATCATATTGTAAAACATCCTGAGCGAAAAAGAGGCTTGATAGAAGTATATATTCTGATATTTAAAGTTTATTATTTATAAACAGGTTAATATTTACTTCAACTTATTTTACGGTATCTTTAAAATATTTTATTTTGTAATAATACAGCGTTTTGCACTACAGGTGAGCCTAAAATATAAAATTTAACTTTTTGCTTACAGTAAATTGTTTATGGTGTCCCATAGAAAGTAAAATAGTTAACTATTTTAAATTTTTTAGTAAAATTTTACCTCTAAATTTTTTTTTAAAGCTTTATTCTTTTCATTTTACAAAATATTAAATTTTCTTTTAATGCTATATATAAAAGTTAACTTATTGAATAGCTTCGACAAGGGGTACTTTAGCAGAAGGTTTCGTACTTTAAAGCCTCTTAAACTCTTAAAAAAAAAAAAGAGGCACCTTTTTTTTTTTTTAATAAAAAACTTTTTACTTTGATCAAGCGTGGTATTATCGCTTTCTGCTTTAAAAAAAATTGTAGTGATCCTAGCATTAAAAAAAAATATATTTTAATACAAAAGGTCTAATAAGATTTTATTTCCGCATATAAAATCGTTAGTATTAAAAAAATCTTGTGTTTCCTAAAAGTTCAAATAAACATGAAAGACAGATAATAACAAAGTAGATTAAAAAAAAAATTAAAACAAACTGGAAAGGCTACTAACCTTTAACATTTAGCAAGAAGTGATTATTACACGCTCATTATTATAAAAAAAAAGTTTTGCAACCCTATTTTATTAAACCTTTATTTTAAAAATTACTTTTTATATGTATGTATAGAATAAAGTTATTTTTCCTTAAAAGTTAAAAATAAAAATTTTTTGAACGACAAATGTAAGTTACTGTCAGGTTCCTTTTTTTTAAACAACTTCGAAAATATAGATAAAATAAATTTCGGTTGTTTTGAAACTATATGAAATAGAAGTTAGATTATTATAGGTACAAATTGAGAGCCCAAATAAAATATGATTTTTATAATTTTTATAGTCATAATAGGCTACAGTAAAACCTCAAAACTATAAATGGAAGGCCATTTGCATTATTTTTTTACTGTAAAAAGTTTAAACAAAGTTAACGTAAACTGTTATGCACGTTTGTGGAAAAATATAACTAACGCTTGCGAGCAGGTGGACGTTTCCAAAAAAAAGAGGTTTTTTTTAAGAAAATAAAAAATTTCTGCCTTAAGTATTATTAACTAAAACGAAATTAGTATTAATAATTTATTAGAGAATCAAAAAATATGGTTTTTATATGATACCATATAAAGCATATTAATTTTAAGTATATATAAATATATAAAAATGCATTTAAAATTATAAAATTTTTCTTTTTTGGTGTGTGATTAATAGAAAGACATAATTCTTGTTCGTATATAAATAACATGACTAACGACATTTTTAAAACCGGCTATCAATTCCAAGCTGGTGATAAATTTAGGAGAGGTTTTTTGCTGCCTTCAGTGCAAAGGTTAGAATAACTGATCTTATAAAAAATAGTAAATAACTTTTAAGTAATAGTCCTAATACTTCAGCAAGAACTGCATTTAGTAAAAAAATTAGTAATTATTACAATAACAAAAGTAGTAGTACTAATCAGTTAAAAATAAGCATTAATAATTTTCATTGAGAAAAAAAGCAGTTATATTAGTACTTTTAATAACAGTTATGATAATAAAAAAGTAATAACAACAATAATAATACGTATGATAAAAATATTAATCCTGTTATAATTTATCCTACTTTTATTAGCATTTTGAAAATATTTTTGTATATAGTGGAACAGTTTTATTTAATTTGAATATGTACGAGCAATGCGATGATGAATTTTTGAAAACGACTTCATTTTGGGATGAAGGTTTATTTCCTGCCAAAATAAAATTTAAAAATATAAGTAATATAATTTTTTTAAATTAGGACAATTTAAGCGCGTTCCACGGAAAATGCTTCAAGGCATTGAAAATCTTGATCTCATTTCTCTTGTACTTTTTAAAAATTTTTGGTGTTTTCAAATTTTTAATAGTTTTATAAAAATAAAAAAGATGGTTAAAGAACGTGCTGAAGTAGAACTTTCTTATGCGCAATCTCTTGCAAAGTGGAGAGAAAGATGGATGGAAAATTTCGAAAAAAGCGGTGAATCCGGTAATTTTTTTTAATTTATATTTATATATTTTTTATGGGGTTTATAACATTTATTATGGAGGATCTTTAAAAACGGCATTAGTGGGCTGCCTCGATCAAGCACGAACAGCTTCTGAAATTCACTTGGAAGTGAGCAATTTGCTTATGGATCTTTCAAAAGATGGTGAATTTTTTTATCCATTTTTAATTTTTTTTAAAAAAAATTAATTTTTTTAGATCTTCCAAGATACAAGAGAAATTGTTATACCAAGGAATTTATTGGTTATAGAGAGCCTAAATTAGCCAATAAAGGTTCTTGTTTTTGTCAGTCCTATTAATTTATTAATTTTTTTAAACTGTATAAATTCTTGGAGTGATTTTTTGTTTAAATTTTTTTTAAAATTATTTCACTTCGTAATTTTTGCTTGTCTTATCAAAAAATATTTTTATACTTTTTTCAAAATTTTATTCCTTTAAAAAAAGGTAAGTAGTTTTTTTGCTGGACTTTTTAAATTTCTCATAATATTGTAATTATAGTTTTTCTAATTTTTTTTATATTTAAATATTTTTTGGAGAACATTAATTTCCTTTTTACGTTAAATTTTTCAATAATTATTAAACAGCTTTTCTTTTTCTCAATTTCTTTTCAATTTTTCTTTTAAGCACAAAAGCCGGAAAACAAATTTTAGTTTGAATTCAATTTTTTTTAATAAATTAAAATTTTTCAAACTTTTTTAAAGCGTAAAATCATAAAACAACTTTTTAGTCTTGAAATTTAAAATTTTTTGGATTTTGTTTTTATTTATATATAATCAAATTCAAATTTTTTAAATTTTTTTTAACGAAAAATTCGTAAAAAAAATTTTTAAAATAATATTTTAATTATATTTTAATACAATTTAAATTTTCTTTAGCTTTTTTCTAAAGCACGAAAGCTTTTGAAAAAATTACATCTGAGTATTAAGTTCTTTATTAATTTTATTTTATTTTTTTTATTTTCTCTAAGGTTTATAATAATTTTATTAAAAATTCTTTATAGCTTTTTTTAACGTAAAAATTCTTTGTAATAATTTAAAATTTAATTTCTTTCCATTATTTTTTTTTATTTAATATCAATTTTTTATAGCTTTTTCCAAAGCGCAAAAGCCGTGGGAAAAGTTATTAGAAAAAACGCATAAGAAACAGCTAAAGTACCACAAATTCTGTTGCCTCCAGTACGAAATTGCACAGCATCTCTCAGGACCGTTCGTCAGTGATTCACTAGATCGTAAAAAAGAAGCTGAGAATTTGGAAAAAGTTGTGATGGTTAATTTTTTTTTTTTAATTTTGAATTTTGTTAAAAAATTATTATTATTATTAGAAAAAAAGTACTGCTTGCGATAAGTATAATTCGGCATTAAAGAATTTAAGGAATTACGTTGAACGATATCAAAGTTTTATTATTATGGCTATAATTATTATTATTATTTTAAAATTATTTATTTATTATTGTTATTGTTACTATTATTAATATTATAAAAATTATAATTATAATTACTTCACTTATTAAAGTTATTCTCATTATTACTAATATTATTATTAGTATTGTTTTTACTTTATATTAATATTTTTATTACTTTTATCCAACTTTTATATTTATAATTATTTTTATTATTTTTTGTTATTTAACTATTTTTTTATAATTTTATTTTTTTTTAAATGTGTTATAGTTAATATTTAGTTATAATAACATTTTATAATTTATTATATTAATAATTGTTATATAATAATAATAATTTTTTTATTTTATAAATTTTTATATATTTAATAATATTAATAACTTAAATTATATCTCAATAATTATTATTATTATAACGTTTTAAATAAAAGGTTTATCATATATTAATAGAAATTAAAACTTTTTAATAAATGAAAATTTTTATATATTTAATAATAATAACTTTAGTTATATTTTAATAAAATTATTATTTTAACTTTTTATTGAATAAATCTTCAGTATATATTATAATACTAATAACTTTCATTTATTAAAATTATATATAGTTATTAATAACAGTAAATTAATTTATATTATAATAACATTTTTAATTATAACTTTTTATACAAAAAATTTTTCATATATTTATAATAATAACAACTTTTTTTATTTAGTTAAGTTTTTATATATTTATTAATAGCAATAACTTAATTTATATTATAAAAATAATTGTTATGGCAGCTTTATTTTTAATAAATTTGCATATATTAATAATAATTATAACTTTTATTATTCAGTAAATTTTTATATTTTACTTAATAATAATAACTTTAATTTTTTTTTTCGTTACTGTATTTAGCCGATATGATTGGAGAATACATGAAGTGTCAAGATTATGAGCTCAGCCGCCTCCACGTTATCAAGAAGACTCTTTTGAAATATATTTCTGTGCTTAATATAACTTTAAGGGCAAAGTAAAATAATAATAATAATAACAATAATAATTATAATAATTATATTTATCGAAAAAGAACAAAATAAATAATATAAAAAAAAATAGGAACACAAAAAATATTTATGGCACAATTAATATAATATAATAAAAATATTTTATTATGAGTGATGATTATTTAAACTAATGATAATATTAGTAATTAAAAAATTATCTATTAATTTTTAATAATAATTAATAATTTACTAATAATGTATATTAATATATATAATAAATAACTGATATTACTTATAATAAAGTTTTTATAAAAAATACTAAAGTAGAGTAAAGAAATAATTTAAATAATAGTTCTATTAATTATAATAATGTAAAAATAATATAGAAGAAATAATACTATATAAAGTTATAATAATAATAAATTATTGCATTCTTAATACTTGTGATGAAATTTTTATTTATAACGAGAAAATGAAGCATTGTAACGGTTTATATATAAAAAAAACTTAGGCAATAATAGTAAATAGCAAATAATAAAAAAGTTTTATAATATAAAAAAAAACTGTTATAATCAATAATAATAATAACTAATTATATTGTAATAGTAATAGAAGTATACAATAATTAATAGTAAATATTAATAGAAAAGTTTTATAATATAAAATTTTGTTAAAAAAATTAATAATTATATTGATTTTTTATAGTATATAATAATTATGAACATATAAATATAAAAAAAAAATTAAAATGATAATTTTTAGTAATAATGGAAGTATAAAATAATAAAATTTTGTAAAAAATAAGAAAACTATAATTGTAATAAAAAAGTTATTCAAAAATATAATAATAATTGTAATTTTGCAGAAAAATATTAATTATAATTAATAATAATAATAAAACTTTTTATAGTTATCACACGCAATATGAAGTTTTAACCTCCAAAGTGAGCGGATTGGACGCGGTTCAGGATTTGACCAATTACGACAGACAATTTGGGTCCATTATTATTGCTATTTTACTATTATTATCATTATTATCACTATTGTTAACAGTATTACTATTATTGTTATATATATAATAGTTATTATTTTTATTATTAAGTAGTATTCTCTTTATTTATTATTATAATTATTATAAATTTGTTATTTTTATATGTATATATTCTATATTTTACTAAGATAATAACTATTATTAAATGTATTATTTTTATAATAAATTATTATTTTTTATAACTCTTTATATATTAATATTATTATAAATTCATCAATATTACTATTAATTATTATTTTGTGTATTATTAATATTTTTATTATTATAATTACTAATATTAAAACTTTTACTATTTTTATAATTATATATCTATTTATTTTTATTATTTTTATATTATTATTCTTATTTTTTTTAAATATATTTATATTTTTATATTTATTAATATTAATATAATTGTTATTTTTTGAAAATTATTATAATACACTATTAGAGTTTATATTAATTTATTTATTAAAACTATATTGTTTTTATTGTATTTATATTATTATTATGAAATTATTGTTCAATTTTTTTTTATTGTTATCAATATTTTATTATTTTTTTTAATTTTTTTATAATTATTTTCATTATTTTTATATATTTTATCAAATAAAAAATTAATATATATATTCACTATTAGAATTTTTATATTTTAATATTTTTGTTAGATAAAAACTTTTTGATATTTTATTTTATTTTTTATATTATCTTTTTAAATATTATTATATAAAGTTTATACTTCGGTATTTATAAAATTTATTTTACGTTTTTTTAAATGTATTATATATATTTTTATTCAGAATTTTATAAAATTTTATAAACGTTTTTATAATAAAATTTATATAATAATATTAAAAATATATTAAAAAAAATATATATTTAACTTTCAAATTGAAAAAAAATAACTAATAATTTTTTTATATAAAGAAAACAATAATATTTACTTGTTAGTAAACTTTCTAGTTAATTATAAGTTTTTATTAATAAATAAACTTTTTCTACTCAAAAGTAAAAAGTAATTATAATTTTATTTTTTTTTGTAATAATTATTTATTAAATAATTTTTATCATTTTTATGTTTATTTTTTTTTGATTTTTTATAAAACAAATTTATTTTTTTATTTTTTCTATAATTATTTTTTAATGTTTTTTATTTAAGAATTTTTTTTAGTAAATTTGTACAAATTTATTATATATATATATATATATAAAGTTCGTAAATTAAAAATTTTTGTAACTTTTATTAAGTTTTTATGATAATCTAATTTTTTTAATATATTTTATATAACAAATTTTTATTTAATACTTTTTTATAACCTTTTGTATTTTCTGTAATAATTTATTATTTTTTTTATACTTTTCTTAACATAAAGCTAATAAGCCACAATTTTATAATTTTTTTTACGTTTTTTATTAATTTATATTTTATACTTTTTTATAGCTTGTTTTATTTTTCTGTTATAGTTTATTATTTTTCATATTTTTTACTAAATAACTTTTTTATATATTTATATAAATTTATTTTTTATAATACTTTTCTTATTAAATATACGAATTAAAATTTTATATTTTTTGTATTTTTATGATATTTTCTAATTCTTTTGTATTTTTTATGCAATAAATCTTGGTGACATACGTTAATAAAATTTTATATTTTTGTCCTATAAAATATTTTATTTATAACTTTGAATAATATTTTATACTTCTTAAATAACAATTTATATTTATATTTAATAATAAAATCTTATTTTATTAATAATTTTTTTTACGTTCTTTATTACTATTATTTTATATTTATTATATAAAATAACTTTTTTAAACACTTTTCTATAGTATTTTATATTTTTTGTCGCAAATTTTTTTTATTTTTACTTGAATAAAAGTTTATTCATTTTTTTATTAAGTAAATTTATATTTCATATTAATAAATTTTTACATTTTTATAATTTATTAAAATAATTTTTATTATTTTTTTATTTTTTAATAATTTTTTCCGTTTTTCATTATTATCTTTTTTATTGAATATTTTTTAACATTTTTATATTTATTTATTAAAGAAATCAATATTTTATTCTTTTTTATAATAATTTTTATCCTTTTTTTATGTTGATGTACTTTTATTTAAGGTATAATAAAAATATTTATCTGCTTTTTTCATAATTTATTTTTTTATAATTATTTTTATTAATATTTTAAAATTATATATAAAATTTTATTTCTATTTTTATTATATAATTTATTCTTATATATATTTTTATAATATTTTACACGTTTTATAGTATTTTATAATATTTTTATAAATTTAATTAAATACTCTTTATTTTTTTACTTATATAATTTTCTATATAAACTTTATACCTTTATATAATTAATTTATTAAAATTTAATAAAATATAATTTTTATAATTTTTGTATCGTTCATGAATAAATATTTATACTTTTAAATAATTTTTATACCAATTTATAATATTTTTATATATTAATTTATATTTTAGCTTAATATTTATTTTTTATTAAAACAATTATATATTATATTTATAAAAGAATCATAAAAATATATATTATCCAGCATCGGCATGTTGTTAAAGGTCCCTCTTTTTTTTGATTGGACGGTGGACATGGCCACTTCATCCTCGATCACTTTTCCTTATGAAGAGCGGCTCGTCTATAACGCGTCGCGCAGTGTATACGAAAATAAAAAGGCTCTTGATAATGTTTATTCCTGCGAAAAAAATATTGAAAGACAACCTTCTTATAATGTAATAATTATAAATATAACAATAAGGGTGGTAAAGATGATGTTAGTAAGTTTCAAGAGAATTAATAGTTATAATATTAAAAAGCATAATACTAACATTAGTCTATCTAGTATAATTATAGTGACGATAAAATAATGATAATACAATAAAGAGTGAAATTAATAATAATAAATACTAAAAAGAGTAATACTAATAATAGAAATAATATTATAAATAATTAAAATAATAATAATAATTTTTATATCAGAATATAAAAAATGCAGCCAGTATTTATAAAGCGACTGCCTCCTACAAAGCAGTTCGACCCTATGAATTGAGCTTAATTGAAAATGAAAGAGTTTTTGTGGTGGAGCAGAAAAATGATGGGTATTTTTTTATGAAGATAATATAATTAAAATACTTTAAGCAATTATTGTGAAAGTTGAAATAAAAGATATATATAATTTTATAATAAAATAATATTAATAATAATACCGCAAGCAAATATTAGAAAAGTTAAAATATTATGAATATTTCTATACTTTAAAAAATATAATTTATATATATAAAATAATCATTAAAATTTGTGAAATTATCAACAATTAAAATAATGAAAGGTATTTTTTTTTATGAGTTAAGTAAATATATAATAATTATTTATATTTTCAAGAAGCTAAATTTATTTTAAATACTAAATTAAATAAAAATATTATAAAAATATATACAATTATATTATTAGAAACGAGAATTTTTTTTTAACATTTGAAAAATATATTTTATTTTATTTAAGAAAATATTTTTATTAAAAAGGAACCAAAAATTAATCATTTGTTTCTTATTATATTTATAAAAATTTCTATAAAAAAAAAAAGAAAATAGTGAAAAAAATAAATAATTTTTTTAAAGTTACTAATTTATAAAAGTTTAATCTATAAAGTAATGAAACCGAATAAAAGTAGAACCAGAAATTAAAAAAAATAAAAATAAAAAATAGGGAAAATAATTTTTTTTTAAAATTTTTAAACCAAAAATGGATAAAAAAAAGATTTTAAAATTTTTTTAATAAATATAAATATAATCATTATTATTATAAATGTTTTTATATTCTCTTAAATAATATAAATTAAAATATATATTTTATAAATAATTATAAAAATATAGATTTTGTATGTTACGAAAACTAATAAAATATAATAATAATAATAATCCTGTAAATATTATTGTTACTAATATTAATAAATTTATTAATAATAAGCAAAAGTGAATTTTTATATAAAATTTACTAAAATTTATTAAAAACTATATATATATAATATTATTATTGTTTACATGTACTTTATTAAATAATAATAATAAGCAAAAGGTAAGTATTATTATTATGATAGTGTTATTATTCATATAAACTTTATTATAAAATAATATGCAAAAGTAAATATCTATAAAATTTATTAAAATTATTAAAATCGAAATAAATATATAATATTATTTTTATGTTAAGAATATTATTTAAAAAACAGTAACAAGTCAAAAATAATTATCATTATTATAATATTTAAATTTTTAAAAACATACTAAATTTATAATTTTTTTTAAAACTTTTTTTTGTTTATATAATTTTTATTATGTAATTTTTTTTTCTGTTATTATTTTTTGTGATAAATTTACTTTAATCCATTAAAAAAAATTTTTAAAGGTTGTTTTATTTATTACAAGTATTTATTTTCTTTTTACTTTTATGTAAAAAAAGTAATATAAACATTTATATATATATATATATATTAATTTATTTTTTTATTATATTTTTTAATTTTTATTTTTTTTAAAGGCAATTTACTTTTTTTTATTTTATAATTAATTTTAAATTAATTTTATTTTTTTCTGTTCAATATAATATTTTTTTTTCAACTTTTTTCTAATTTTTTCAGTAATAGTTATTCTGTTAATGATTTTCTTTAATTCAGTATATAGTTTTATGTTTATTAAATTATAATTTAAATTTTTTTTCTCATTAATAATAATTTTTTTTTATTTGCTTTTATTAAACCATTATGACTATTATTCAGTTTTTATTTGTCAATTATAATTGTTTTTTAATTTAAAATTTTTTTCTCATTAATAATTTTTGTCTTCAATTTTTTACTTTAATTGAATTATTATAACTGTTTATATTTTTATTTGTTAACTATTTTTTTATTTAATTTACTTATTAAATCAAACTTTTTTATTTTATACGTTAATTATTATTTAATGATTATATATATTTTTCCCGATTAATTATTTTTTGCCTTTTATATACTTTAATTAAGTTATTATAACTTTTTTTTTTGGTTTGATACGTTCCTTATAATTATTTTTTGACTCAAAAAAATTTTCTCATTAATTTACTTTAATCAAATTTTTATAACAATTCATAATTTTATTTATCAATTATAATCATTTTTGTAATTTTAAAATTTCCCCCGTTGTTTACATTAATCAAATCATTATAACTATTTTTTATTTATTATTATAATTAATTTTTAATTTAATTTTTTTTTTTTTCATTATTTATTGCCTTCAATTTAATTTAAAAAAATCATTACAACAATATTTTACTTTTAATAACTTTCATTAGATTTTTACTTTTATTTATTATTACAATTATTTTTTTTGATATTCTTTTTTTAACTTAAGATGGTGTCTTGCTGAAAACAATTTTGGAGATCGCGGCCTCGTCCCTTCCAGCATTCTCACTCGCTCGCAATCTTTGACATGAATTTTTTTTTGTCCTCAATTTAAATTTTACCTTTTTCCGATATAATAAAAAATTGTATATTTTCTCAAATAATTTGAGTTATTTTCTTTATTTATTGGAAAGTTAAATAAATTTCAAATTATAATAACTTTAATAAATATTAATTTATAAATTAATATGAAAATTATAAAGTTTTTAAATTAATGTTAGTATAGTAAGCATTAATTCATTAGAAATATTATAATTCATTTAAAATTTATTGGAGTTAATAAATTTTTTTAAAGTTATTATAATTTTACGAAAAATGTTTAAAATTTAAATATTAATAAACACGTAATTGAAAGACTACAAGTTATAATCTTGTTAATTTATATAAAGTAAATTGTTAAATAAAAAAATTCATAAAAATTAGCAAACAATATATAATTTTAACCGATAAAAATATAAAAACTATATAATTAACATTAATTTGAAAAAAAGCTTTTGTTAATACTTTAAATATTAAAATTTATAATAATTATAATAAATTATTAACTGAAATTTTTAAAGTAAAATTTAATAACTTTCTTTTAATGAACTTATTAAAAATTTTAAAGTTTTTGGAATTGAATTTGCTTTTGAAAATTTTTAGAATTCTCCGTATAAAAAGACAGAAAAATACCCCTTTTTACTATTTCCAAAAGCTTCGCTAATTTGTAGGCTATAAGGATTCTGTTAATTTACTGATCACTCATCAGCACGCGATTTATGAACTGAAACCACTTTAGTGAACGCACCAATTGCCGAAAAACCACTATATTATGGCGTCGTTTAGCGCAAGTGGAATTAACAATAGTCATTTTGTGTCAATTATAATGTAAAAGGGTACAAATTCTAAAGCGCACCATATATATATATATATATATATATAGTTTTTTTTTATAAAAGAGAAATTGGGGGAATTAGACTGGCGAAAAGCACTTCAACCGCCCGATCTGAGAAGTCAAATCTTCAGGAACTTGGTTAGTGCCGCGGTGGATGACCAAAAGGCGACTAAGCACGTGCTGCACTCCCGATCTAGAAAACCGGAACATTAGTATCCTCCCCCTGGAGATGTACAGGAACCTACCTGCCCTCGACTTACCGAGCACCCCCCAAAGGTCCAAAAAAAAAAACAAAAAAAAAAAACAGAGGTTTTTGTACTGCTTTTCGTCACTTCGCCTGGTTATTTTGGTTCGGCTTTTGGCTTTACGGTTAATAGGTTAATCTTTCTAGTAATCGATTAAATATTCTAGTTGTTAGTAAGCATCTAATTTAATAGGGATATATGTAAGAGATAAATTTTCTGATCTATCGGTGTTATCTCGTAAGCTTTCTTTAGGGTAGCTTTACACTTCTAATTTTTGTTACACATAGCTCAGTTGTTATGGTTGCACTTTCGATCTTTTTTATTATTGAGTTAAAGAAGTCTTTTTACTTCCCCTTTAGTATGTAGCAACTGTTAGAATGTTTTTGTCTTATATTATAAAAGGGTTCTGATTGCTGGTATTAGCTTGTATGCTTTCTTGTAGGGCAGTCTCACTCTTCTAGTTTATAACATGTTTGCACTTTTGATATTTTTCTTATGTGTTAACGAAATCTTTACTTCATCTTTGGAATGTAGCAATTGTAATAGAATCTCGCCTAAGCCAAGTTTTAACAATTACTTTAGTGAAAATTGTTTAAGTATACTTAAGTGAATACTAGGGCCTTGACTTATAGTTAAAAGAGTTATATATATTGTTTCAAACAAAATCCTTTTTAGAATTATTTAATTTGCTACGCAATTAAAAAGAATTATAAATTAGCCTATACCCATTTTACTTGAATACATAAATAAGAAAATTCATTAACAATTTCATAAGGAATAAACTAATTACAATTTTAATTTAGTTTTTTTTTATTACTTCACAGTCAAGATGATTTACGATTTAGTTTTTAACTAAATTCATTTTATATTTAAGAATTATAAAAGAGTTTAAATTATTAATAGTTTAATGTAATTTTAGATATTACTTTTTTTACTACTCAGTTATGATTACTTTTAAGTTTTTAGTTTAATTTAATCTACTTTTAAAAGTTATAATAAAATTGAAAATCTATTTAGCTTTAAAAAAATTTACTTATATCTAATATGGTAACTAAAATAAGGAAATATAAAATGAACTATAAAAAATAATAAAATATATATATTGAAAATGACTATACAAATACTATTAAATATAAAAATTAGAAAGATATTGATAATTTCAAATAATTTACTTTATTGTTATAAAAAATTATAATTAATCTTTTTTAAAAAAAAAATGTTCCAGAACTAAGAAAATTCAGTTTTGAAATAACTCCAGTAGATGTAAAATTAAAATTATAAAAATTAATAATTTTTTTTCTAGTTTAAGTGTATAAATTATCTTTAAAAATAATAAACGAATATTAGAAGTAAGAAATTTAATAATTTCCTTCTAGATTCAATTTTTACTATTTATTTGTTTTAAGCATTAGTCCTCTACCTCAAGGGGTACCACAGACCACCGCTGATAGCAAAGCTCTTGACCTAATTATAGGAAAACGTGGTTAACTTCAAGGGCTTCACTAAAGAACCTAAATCAAATCTAACAAATTTTGTCAGAAAAAAGTGTTATATAATAAATATTATGATAATTAATATAATTAATTTATTATGCATTATTCAGTATATACGCTTCAACTTAAAATTTATTACGCGAGACAATGGTATTATAGTTAAATAATTTTTTAAATATAAAAAGTTTAAATAGATACATATACTTTTAAGTGAATTAATTTTACTTTTCAATTACTTATACTTTTAGAAAATTTATTGTAAGCGCTTCATTTGAAAGTTAGCTAAGTCAGTCAAAATAAGTAAAATAAATAAAATTTTCAGAACACAGAAGACAAGTATATATAAAAAAAAATAAGGAAAATATAATTACTCGAAAACAACAGGAAGTAGAAACTTTTATGTTATCTTTATAATAATTGAATTATAATTCCTTATGACAAGGTGTTATTTAATATTTTCGCATAATTAAACGCTTATTAACAAAACAATCGTTAAGTCAATCCTATGGAATAGTCAGAAAGATAATTTTTTTGATTTTAAAGAAAACAACTTTGTAGTTGTACTCGTAAAACTCTTCTGTAAAAACCAAAGCGAAAACCAAAAGAAAATTTGCCCAGCATATAAATTTATAAAAATTTTTAAATTTCTATAGCAATTTTAAAAGAAAGTGGTTAAGCTTATAAACTTTAAGTAGTTGTAGTTAAAATTAATTTATTAGTCGAATAACGAAAAAAATGTAAAGCGCTTCATTGAAATACGCAATGAGCTGAAAAGTTTAAATCTTTAATTATATTTTTTATGTGCGCCATAAAGATTTAAATTAGAAATAATGTTAAGTTTAGTAATCTTTTTTTCAATAAAACTCAACAGGAATCACAATGATTGTTTTAAAATTATTTATAAATAAATTAAAATTAGCAGGGATCGCAATAAGTTAGTCTTATGATTGTGCTAACTCTACAGTAATCGCAGGGGGTCTCACCGATTTGCAAATTATTTTGTTGTCTTAATTTTAAATTAGTTAGAAGTTGAAGTTTAGTGTGATCTGTATTCTAAAATCTCATCAAACAAGTGTTTATAAATTTACGGTTTTTTTATTTAATAGAAAAGTAAAAAATTTAAAATTTAAGGGGTTTGAGAGACCTATTGCAACTACTGTCTGAATAAGAGGTGCAGTAACTATAGGATGAAATAACCTGCAAGCACTCTTCCCCTATAATGTAACGTATCAGTTACCCTCGGAATCACACCGACCCATTATAATTAAAGTAAAAATCTCATATATAATTATTCCACTAAATAATTTTTTTTGCAACGAAAATTTTTTTTTTTAATATGTTCTCTTAATATGTAATTTAGAAGTCTTTTTTATAAATGATGAGCAGATGCTGGGTAATATTGAGTGCAAACTGCTTGCTCTCGCAAATAATTTATATTAATAGGTTTTAACCGTATTCAGTCTCGGCAGGTCATCTCACAATAAACTAAGTAGATGTGAATAAAGGTAAAACAAAACTGTAACGTCGCGCTTAAAATGTATTGAGGGTCCTTTAAGAGCGGGGGTCTTTCCAAAGTTCGTATGTACATTCTTGATTTCACTGGTGGTTTGGAGACCTACTAAAACATTCAAAAGAAACTGAAGTTGCATTTCGAAAAAGAGTTTTAAGTCGTCCCAAACCCTGGCCACCATGAAGCGTATCGTTCCGTAGTCGCAGGAGCTCGTTTTGCTGCGTCTGCTTGAGTTCAATCGTCGACGCTTTTTCATAGGTCCAAGGGACAGACGCGTAGGCCATAACAGGGCGCACGCATACTTTATAAAGACTCATTTTAATGCCTAGGGATATTGCGCTTCTAGCGCACAGCAGCAGGTAGAAAGCGTGAATTGCTGCTTTAACCTTAGTCGTAAGGAACTCTACGTGTTACCTCCAAGTTAGTCGCTGATCGATGTCGAATGCTCAAATATTTGGCCTGAGAGCCTCATGGGCTTATAAGACCTTCGAGAACTTAGAGGTGGGGGTAGCGCGTTCATCATCTTCAGATGAGGATCGATTTGCTCTTATTCCATTAATGTTTACTTCCCACTGCCCTCGTTGGCAAAAAAATGTTTTTAAATAAGGCTGCAGGTGTTTCCATAATAATGAGTGAGGAGTCCTGTGGAGACGTATAAACTGCAGTGTAAATGGCATACAGTGCAACGCGGGGGGGGGGGGGATGTGAGGGTTCGCAGGGAATGGCAGAAGAGACTGAGAAATAAAAGGAATATTTACATAAAGAGCGCTATCCACATGCAAGGAGAGCCACGTTTATGCTATCCACGGGTCGTCCTGATCAGACTGTTATTCAGACTGCATAAAGTACTGCAGAAATCTGTAATAGTATATATGTATATACGGGGGAACTTTAAAGTTAACAGAAATTTATTGTTTGTCTTCAGAAATATGTAGAGCCTTTAAATTTTGTTCGGATGACTAATAAGTAGAATTACCACTAGACTGCCACCTTCGTGCTCTTGTTTATTCTATTTAAGATTATGTTTTCAATCACAGCCTGTCAATGCAATACCCCTCATAATGGAGGATGATGAAGGACCCCATTCTATCGTCCCCATAAAATTAATTTTACTGTATTAAAAAAAATTGTTTTACTATATTTTGCTTATGTCTTGGTTAAGGTACCCTAAAATTCACTAAGGGAAAACCTCGACCTCTTAAATGTATAAAAAAGCCAGTGAGGCTTAAGTTCCTGACTTCAAAGAAGTTTGCGATTTTTATGCTAAGCTAAATTTCAGTAAAGTACTGAAGGTAATTGAAAGTGGGATTATCAACATTTTCTTCATTCGTGATGCTGTTTCGTTATAAAGTTCGATTGCACAGACACATCATATCAGAAGTAAATACTTAGGTTTTCAAATCAAAAAACTCACAAACTTTATTGAAGTCACTATCGTCACAACTGTTACCTTTACCTTTCTCTTCTTTATACAATATCGTAAAACCTAAATTATATAGAAGACAAAGAAAAAGTTAAAAATGGCACCCCTTGGCCAAAGGAAGCACCTCTTAATATCCGCGCGAATTATTTTAAAGTGGGAGATTGGAGATTGCTATACGTTGTTGTTATGTATTTTTAAGTAATATTAAAATTAATTAGAGACGAACGTTATTTTAAAGAAAACGATAGGTATATTCAACCCAGTGAATGCCCTCCCCAATTAGACGATCCTGTTTATTTAATACTTAACCCCAAACCTTTAGAAGACTTAAAAATCTAGTGCTAGGATTAAAAACACCAAATAACGAAATATTAAACATAAAAAGCGGAGGAGCGGCATAGAACTGTTATGCTGCAGTCCTAATTTTTTGGGATTCAACTGAATATTGGCGAATATTAAATGACAAATCGCACGTAACGTCACAAATGCTAACTGTATTAGAAAGCGATTTGCTGCCCCTAAAGCCTTTCTTTATAAAAACCAAACTTAAAATAAGTATTAGCATTGGCACTTTATTGTAACTAAGCAATAACTTTAAGAACTAATTTTAAATTTGTTAAGAAAAATTAGTAACGTCTCAAACAAAAAAGCAATCAAGGGAAGCAGAAAAACCAAAAATAAATTTAATTACATCCTCACGACCTTTTTTTAACAATGCTTTTACGTATTAAAACGTGGACAAAATTAAAAAGAATTGAAATTAAAAATTATCACAAGGAATAGTTGGCGCAGCCAAAAAAAAAAAGTAATAAATAATGATAAATTTTAAGTAACCGGAAAAATCTGTGGCTTAAATAAAATAAGAAGCGCGAAAATCTATTTATTTTTTAAGAAAATTTTATAAGTCCAGAAAAATTGGGTTATTGCCAAAGTTAATCCACTTCCTCAATAACAGGTCCACCAGCTCCTTTGTCGCCGCCGCCCTGGAAGCTACTCATGTCCGGCATACCACCGGGCATACCACCAGGCATTCCACCGGGCATTCCGCCAGCAGCGCCATGAAGCTTCGTGAGTATTGGTGAGGCGACCTCCTCGAGTTCCTTACGCTTTTGTTCGATTTCTGACTTAGAGGCCTCCGAGCCGGCCGAGTCGAGCCAGGAGAGTACGCTGGAGGCTTTACTGTTAAGCGTTTCTTTGTCTTCAGAAGACAATTTGTCCGCCAGATTCTTATCATCAACGGTCGATTTGACTTGGTAGGCGTACGATTCGAGCGAGTTTTTAGCATTAATAACTTCCCTACGCTCGTCGTCTTCTTTCTTGAATTTCTCAGCCTCAGAGACCATGCGATCTATTTCCGCCTGCGACAGACGGCCCTTGTCATTGGTGATGGTGATCTTATTGCTTTTTCCAGTGGATTTATCAGAGGCGGACACGTTAAGGATGCCATCGGCGTCAATGTCAAACGTGACTTCGATTTGAGGAACACCACGCGGGGCAGGTGGGATGCCGGTAAGATCAAATTTGCCTAACAAGTGGTTGTCCTTTGTCATGGCCCGCTCGCCCTCGAATACTTGAATAAGTACGCCCGGTTGGTTGTCCGCATAAGTAGTGAAGGTTTGAGTCTGCTTCGTGGGAATAGTAGTCGAGCGCTTAATAAGTGGCGTCATTACACCACCCGCAGTTTCAATACCTGCCAAATAGAAAACATTTGCTAACAAAAACATCCCAAATATATAAGCACGTAGTTACCCAGGGACAAAGGAGCCACATCCAATAACAAAAGATCTTGAGTAGTTTCATCAGTATTTTTAGTGAGAATAGCGGCTTGCACAGCAGCGCCGTAAGCAACGGCCTCGTCGGGATTTATAGTTGCGCAGAGCTCTTTTCCATTAAAGAAGTCTCGAATTAAATTTCTAATCTTCGGGATACGCGTAGAGCCGCCGACAAGCACAATCTCATTGATGTCTCCCTTTCCAAGCTTGGCGTCTTCTAAAGCAGTCCGCACGGGATTAAGAGTGCTCTTAAAAATGTCGCTGCACAATTCTTCAAACTTTGATCGACTAACGGATTGTGAGAAATCGATACCTGCAATTATAATAAAAATGGATATAACAATATATAAAATTATAAGAAACCCTCATAAAGGGAGTCAATCTCAATGGTCGTCTGGGTGCTCGAAGAAAGACTTCGCTTGGCCCGCTCACATGCCGTACGCAAGCGACGGAGGGCCTTTGCATTAGAGCGCAAGTCTTTTCCGTGTTTCTTTCTAAACGTATCACAGGCATAATCAACTAGCCGATTATCAATGTCTTCCCCACCGAGATGAGTGTCACCTAAAAACGTACTTATTGTAAATAAAAAGAGTAAATAATAAGAATAAAAAAAAACCCGCAGTAGACTTCACTTCAAATATGCCTTCCTCAATCGTTAAAATAGAAACATCAAAAGTACCCCCGCCCATATCAAATATCAAAACGTTTTTTTCGCCTTTCTCAGCTCGCTTATCCAATCCGTATGCAATAGCAGCCGCTGTTGGCTCGTTGATGATACGGAGGACAGTCAGCCCGGCAATCTGCCCAGCATCTTTGGTGGCTTGCCTCTGAGAGTCGTTAAAATAAGCAGGAACAGTAATGACCGCCTTAGAAATAGAGTGACCTAAGCGGTTACAGAAGTTAGTCAGTTAACATTAGCCAATAATAAGGGCCCCCACCAATTCCGGTCTCGGCGATTTCCTTCATTTTCGTGAGGACCATTGCAGAAATCTCTTCAGGAGAAAATATTTTTTTTTCTCCTTTAAAAGTTACTTGAATCATCGGTTTGTCGTTTTTATTAATTACCTGCAGTGGAAAAAAAAATAAGCCATCGGGCTATTAACATAATAAAATATTTGCACCGTAAAAGAAAAGTGCTTGATATCACTCTGAACTACAGTGTCGCTAAAACGACGACCAATGAGACGCTTAGCATCAAAAACGGTGTTTTCGGGATTCATAGCAATCTGGCTTTTAGCAGCGTCTCCAATTAAACGTTCGCAATCGGTGAATGCAACATAGGACGGAGTTGTCCGATTGCCTTTAATTAAAAGAGTTTAGGTCCTTCGAAAGAAAACTGCTTTCCGTGGTGCAGACCTTGCTCATTAGTCAAGATATCAACTTTGCCATGACGGTAGATACCGACACAAGAATATGTCGTACCTTATAAAATTAAAGTTACACATTTAAAAACAGAGAAAATCCTAAACACTCAATCTACGACAATAGCAAACAGCTCCAGCAGTAATACAGAATAAAAAAACGTCAGTGCAAAAAGACTAATCACCTAGATCAATGCCTACAGCCTCAGCGCTCATAACGAAACTCGTAAAAAGCGAACAAGAAGAAAAATGAAACAGACGAACGGGGGGGGAAGGTACAACAAACCCTTTTATACTCGTATAATAGTGTGCATATTTAAAAAATTATTAATGTTCCCGAATCTTCTGGAATTGTTAATACTAATGAAATAAAGTTCTTGCCGCAAATTCTTCTAAAAAAGGTCAGTTTAATTTTTAATTGAAATCATGTTTTTTCTAAGCGTGTTTAAAAAAGATTCCCGAATTTTGTATTTGTTTTTGTCGGCTGGCAGGCTTTACTTGTTTTCACTGTCGTGCTTTTGCATAAGAAAGGATTGAGCGTGATGTACTATTGATAGCATATTCACTGCTTATTAATTTTATTTACGGGCAATAATCCTTTAAAGTTATGCGAGATCTTACTTTGTATTTCACTTTACCGTCATCCAATTGCTTTTTTACCCCACAAGATGTAATTTATTATATTTATGCTTCACTTAAGATTATGTTTGTGCTGCTTGGGACGGTCTACTTTTTTAAATGTATTTACATCGAAAAGCTATTTGGTATATTATTTGGAAATTTCTTAGCTTTAAAGGAGACTATTAATTGTTTTAGGTCCTTGAGATTTTTTTTCGAACTAGGCTTTTTGGTTACATTGTTTAAAGTTTACTCTTTTTTAATTTAATTTAAGCTGTCACACAGGATGTGGTTTTTAAACAAGTTTTTTAGAAAAAAATTTGTTTGCTCTTTTATTTTAAAAAACGAAGTAAATATGTCCTGGCGGTGGTAATGGTAAGTTTTGAAAGTAGCACGCTCGAATTTATAAGATACAGATTCTCGTAGTAAAGAACCTGCTTTTATTTACTTTGTTAGGAAAATTATAAGTTACTGAGCTTTATAGTCTTTTATTGTCTTTCACCTAGTAAGTTTTTTCTAAATAAAAGTTTATAATTCACTTAAACAAAGTAAAAAAGTATTGGCAATAACTATTTTATACTCTGAATTTATGGCCGAAGCCTATAACAAAGCATGTTTCGCGGATTGAAGTAGATAACATTTATAAGTAAGAACTACTGTTCTTTTTTACTTTCCCAACTTGGGCTTATTGTCTTTACTAAGTTAACATACTTCTGCATTGCTTCTCCCTTGGGAAGTCCTTTTTGAGAATTCCATGCCTCCCACTTGGCCTTTGCTTCAAACTGAATTAATTAAATGGAGTTATGTAACTTATAAATGTCCTCTATTATCATATCCATATCATATCACTTTTTATAGGTACCAGTTAAATACTTGTATAGCTTTTACCTGAAATGCGTAAGGTTTAGGTTGTGTGTTGTCACCCTGAGTTGCCTGCTTGTACAACCCATAATACAAAAGTTTTTCTTCCGGAGTAACTTCTTTAACTGGAGAATCACGAACAAACTGAACAGCCTCCTTAAACTTTTCTTCAATCGACATTGAATTTAAACAAAAAAACTAAGGTGTAATAAATTATATGAGGATTTTTACAAAAAAAAACTCCACTTTTTAGTCACGTGATTATTAAAATAGTTTTTTGCCCACACCACAGGTGGATTGTTATACATGCGAGACCCGGATGGTTTTTTTATTCATCGCTATTGCGATGTTTTTTCTTAAAATAAAAAAAAAAGTAGTTATTTTATAAAATATTATTATACTGTTTCTTTATAAAGAAGTTTAGCCTCTAACAACTGTTTATATAGTATTTGCCCGCTTCACTAGATTTAAATCTATAAATTTAAAATATTGTTTATAACGGCTGAAATTTTTTATATGAGAGTAAAGTTTTATAAATTTTTTAAAAAGTTAGCAGTAAATATGTTAATTTTTTAAATTACTATGTCTGAAGCTTGCTGTAATAATTTTATCTTTATAATTTTGTTTGACAGTGATTTTAATTAGATCTCCAAGCTAACTTATTGATATTATGTCTACTCTAGTGTTGCTTAAAATAACTTATTTACTATTTTTTTTTACCATTTGACAAATTATTTGAAATATCTATACATTAAAAATGTTTATAATCGTATATAAAATCGTTTTTATTAAAAAGTTATTAACTTATTGATAACTATTTAGATTTCGCTATACAGTCCAGACTTTTACTAACTTTTTACACCTCGGACTGCCTTATAAGTTCTTATTTAAAAACCTCAGTTTTTCTTTTAATCTAACTCCTAACAATATAATAAAAAGCTATATATGATTTCCTTAGTTACGTTGTGGACCAAAATTAAATTTTTAATACATTTATAACGTTAAAGCTATGCAATTATATCATATTTTTTTGTAAAACAAATTTAACTTGCTTGCGTTATTTTTTTAACGAAATGAACATAAAGCACTTTTTTAATATAGCATTAAGGAAAATTAACCTACTCAACATGTGAATAATGCACCAGGGCTAGTTTTAACTTTACAGCTAATACTCTTAATGTGACTGTTTGAAACAACACATACAAAAACACTCGAGGTCTTTTTGGAGGTTTGAAACTTTTGCGTCGGTGTTATAGCTTGCTTTTTTGTTATTTTTTACTAGTGATATTACTATAAAACTTTTATATAATTTTTGATATATAAAAGTTAGTTTGTCTTTAAGCTTGTTAACGTTATATTTATATTTATGATATTACTTTTTTGCTTAGTTTGGAGCTTTTAATATATTTGAGAACTGATTTACTTAGTTATGTTTATTATATTGTTATATTAATAACGAATAACAATTAAAATGTTTTTATGATCATAATGCTTTTTTAAATTCGTGATTACACTTCCCATATGTTTTAAATTTAATTAAAATACTTAAATATAATTTTTCTGATTATTAACTTTTATGTTGGTATTTCTTTACTACTTTTACATTTTACCATAGTTTGTTCTATAAAACTATTAGCAAGTAACTGTTTGCTTCCTTTTTTTTTTCTTTTTGGTCTCTTATTAAATATAACAAAAAAGAGATGTACGAAGACGTTATTCCTCCCGCTTATGAAACGGTTACGCAGATTCCAGCCTCAGCCTCTTATCAAACACCAATTGAAGGCATTCTTAGGGTAGGAGTTGCGTTAGTCCCGATGGGTCAACTCGAGAACGGCCCAACTGCGTTGTTATGTCCGCACTGCCATAAAGTTATTATAACTAACGTTGAATATAAATCTGGTTGTACCTCCAAGCTGGCTTGTTATCTTTGTTGCTTGGGGGCGTGCCCGATAATCGGCGTTATGCTTTTGTTCTCATCTTATTTATGGGATAAGGTTCATAGCTGCCCTGCTTGCGGTGTATACCTTGGGACTCGCATTCCTGTTTGAGTTAATTTTTTTAAAGTTTTTCTTTACTTACATTGGCTGGATTTATATATGGATCAGTTTGATAACTAATTAGATATTATGATTAAAGATTTGTTGAGATAGTTTTTCTTATATTGTGCGAATAGAGAAGAAATGTAAGGGAGCATGGCATTTTTGTTTATAAAAAGCGATTATCTTAGTTAATCATATTATTTAATAATACTAGCTTTTATTTATATTGCTAATTTTTGGTAGTTAAATAGTGTAAGCTTTTAAATTGAAGTCATTAATAGAAGTTTGGTCGGACAGCTTAATAAGAAAACCTTTTAAAACCTTAAAAAAAGATTACTAGTAAAACACCGGCAGGTTTCGCAATAGAAAGGGGAAAAAAAACGTTTTTACCTCGTAATGGACTACTTTACTTTTTTAAGCAGCTCTATAAAGTATTTGCTGGCTTATTTTGTTTTCTTGTTATTAGAAAAGCTTAGAAAATGAGCAAATAAAATTCAAAAAAGCGAAGTGATAAAGCACTTAAAAGTGGAAGAGAGCAAAGATCATTCTATAGTTATTGAAATCCAGTTAAGACTATTTGTTCTTTTCTTTCTGGACATAAACACACGACGATCTTATAAGAAAAGGACGAGACTTTTCATAACAATTAATTATAATAAAAAAATACTTTAAACGGTACGAATAAGTAGTTGGCTGGCTTTCTCTGATTATACAAATATTATGTGGTTTTTTCAACCGTGCCCAGATGTTCGATCTGGAGATCTTGGTGCAAGGCATCGTTGCGAACAAACCACGGCGCACCCGTTGTAAGGCATAGCTTGTTTTGTCTCACTTGAAGCGAAAGGGCTATAACCTTTGAGTCGTAGGCTCAGGCGTAAAATAGTGTTAATACCCAGTATGTATGCATTCATTCGCTCGACTATTAACAATCGAAGCATGGCAACCGTCGTCACGAACCTATATTGGTTTACTTTTTGTAGATGCTAGTTCTACATTAGTAGTAAGTTAATTAGTTATTAAGTCCTTAAAATTAGAGAAGAATATAAGTATCTCTCGTAATGTCTATTTTAATGATAGTATTGAAAATATATAATTATGTAAAGTGATACCATAGGGACCCGCGCCCTTACTGGATGAATTTAATGACTTAAATAACGATAATAAGACAACAACACTGATATTAAATATTAATGATACTTATCGAAGTGATGACATTATTATTATTATTAACATGGGTTTTAAACTCTAAGGAAGTGAAGGCCCCCCAGGTTACCTATAGCTAAGGTAGGTGTACTAATATGAACGTGTTTACAAGTTTTTACCAGAAACCAAAACGAAATTTAATTATCTTTATGTTTATATAACTAATAAGTAGCAGTCACCCTTACTTTTACTTCCCGTGCAAACCTTACAGCTATCGTGATCCTATCCGGGTTGCGTAATTATTTAAATGTTTGTTGTTTCTAGTTTTAACATTTATATAAAATCTTGTTTTTTATTATTTATTTAGTTTTCATTTCTATAAATTTTATATTTTTTTTCAAGGTAGCATATTAATTTTTTTTACCAGTTAAATTTTATAAACATCTTATTTACCGAATCAAACTGATTATCATACTTAACCAATTATATAATTACTTTTTTTACCAAAGTCCTGTAGGGGAGCGGCATATATATATACTAGGTAAGATCACTATTTAAAAGAGTACTATTTGCGTATAAACAGTTGAAACGTTTGGTAAGTTTGTACTTTTTTTTTTTTAATTTGTATAACGTCGGCCTTCAAACTAAGTTTGTAAAGGTATGTTCGATAACTACTGATTTTTATGTAACTCTAATATATATATTTTAAAGCTGATTGTAAATTCTAAACTTGTTATGAGTAATATCCCCGACATACTTTGAAAAAGAATTTTTTTACAAAAAAAAATGTTTTTTATTTTATACAATAATTTGTTTTGCTTTGATAATGCCTAGCTTCTGTAAATGTCAGTTTAACTTAGCTAAATACTTGTAAATATCCACTACTCCCTAAGGGGGCAAGTATGAACGATTAAACCGGAAAAATTCTGGTATCACTTCGGCTAACAATGACAATAACTTTAAAAAAAACCCCAAAGTTTATAATTTTCTTTTTTCTATTATAGTTCGCAGGAGTTAATTAATAAAACATTTTATAAGTTGTTGTGCTAAATTAAATGTAACACTTTTATTAACTGTTCAAAAATTCTTTAAGATATTTCTTGAACGAATTTGTTTACCAACGGGGTGCGAAATAATAACGGCATCCACTTTTTAGTCGAAATGACGTTTATAATTATTAATGGCTATAATTAAAATTCACCATAGGCGCCGTTAACTATTCGTACTATCAGCAAGTAAGACAATAGATGAAAAATATAATAAGTTATTAAAGCGTAAACACAACAACTTTTCTTCAAATTAAAAGGTATAGGGGCTAAGTATCTTATTAGCCAGCGTATATTACAAAATAATAAAAACAGGAATAAAAAACAAAAAAAAAATAACACTTCAAAGCAATAACTAAAATGACAATACCTATAACATTGCAACATACCGTGAGCACCATAAAAATGCAACTTATAAGTAGAATTTAATTAAACTTTGCGTCATCATACATTTTTAGGTTAGCATGGTTAAGCCACGTGATCTCTGTATGTTTAATAAAATTAGCAGTGTTAACCATTCATATGTAGTAATATATTATAAAACCAATAAAGTTTCACTAACTAAATACAGCAGGCCCACAAGGCGCCTCCAAGTAGAGACCAGTTGAGTAAAAAGGAACAAACCTTTATAAAGTGCGAGAATTCTTTAGATATGCATATAAATAGGCATCTATTTTTGTAACGATCCTAAGATTTAGGTTTTCTATAGAAAGTAAGCGTTCTCACTTGAATTCCTTGGGGTGTAAGGGTAGATAATGTAGTAGCAACAAAAAAAGTCAGCTAAGATGAAGGAAAGACACAAGTAAAATTTTAGAATAAATTTGGAGCTAAAGCGCAACTAAGTCCTGCTGTGCACAGGCGATAAAAGACTTAAATGAGATCTTGAAATAGAAATAAAACATGAAAACTGGATAGAGTAAAAAAAAGGGAACATCAAAAAGTAATCTAAAGGCGCTTTAATAAGTAAGAAAGCAACAATTTTAGTTCCTTACTTGAGGTGGTAAGCCTTACTAGCTGTAGCTGTTTACTTGCTAATTCGCAAAATAGGGGGGCATGCTAAGCGTTTTTGTTATATAGATATACCGTCGCAGACTTGCAGTTGCTCCATAAG